CCCCCTTGCCAGTTCTGATGGTTCATATTATCCTCTTGTTTTTATGGTGTTACAACTTCTTCGTTGGCGTAGCAATGGTGCTGCATGGCGAGCAGTTTGTGGATGGGTGGAACCTTTTGTTATGGGAGTTTCGGAAATTAGAGGTTAATGGTAAGTGTTCATATTGGTGGAATATTTAACCTATATGGTGCCAAATGAAGTAATCACGTTTATATTCTACTATAATTGGACTTGTTCATGAAATGAATTTTTTTAAAGTTTACATTCCCAGGCATTTTAAAACTTCCTTTCTGCACCAGATTTGCCAAAATCGACAATTTAATTACACACTTTGGTACGCAATTGGAACGATATCGTGTTTAATCGTCAGCCACAGGAAATAATTTCGTTACAGAAATATGTGAAATTTTTGAGGGAACATATGTACATAATTCATAGTATTCCCCAAAATTATATAACTGGTAGCAAAAAGGTTTTGTAATGTTAGTTATTTATATCCCACAATTTTCTTGTGTAACATCCCAATCCAAGCTCGTCTGATCAACTAACCTAAGTTGCGATGTCCTTGTAAATATTATTTATGAATATTTAATTGAGACAAAATTGGTATTCATCGCTTTGAATTATTGATTATGTATATATTATACAATTTACATATATGTATGTATGCACCTTTTGCCATGGTTCCGGATACCTAGAAGGATGCTTAGGAAGTATCGAATTTGTGAATTATGTACTTAAGAAACTTGTGAATGACTTAATACCTTATTACCACTAGCGAAACTAGGGGTAGGCAGGGTAGGGATTGCCTAGGGGCCCCCACGGAGTGGGGGCCCCGTAGCTGCCCCGAATTTTTAAAAATTTTTTACATGTCGACCAGTGGCAAAGCTAGGGGCAAGCGTTGCAAAAGGTCATTATAAAATCTAAACTAGTTCAAATTATGCTAAGAAATTCTGCCAAATTTTATTTTATAATTTTCAGTTTAAAAATGCTGAGATGGGAGTCACCACTATAGCATTAGCTAATTATTTTTCTAAAGGCTTTGCGCGCATCTCCGGACTTTATCAATTGTTTTAAATATTTTAAGTGTAGCAAATTGAACCCGATAAGACGAGGAAATGACGCAAATCTTATCAGGATGATCCTGGCGTTGATTATAGTTGGCTTAAAAATGATAAATTTACTTTGGTCATTTAACTCAATTAGTCGTAAATCAGCTGCAAAAACTGAAACTCAATGCAATTATGCCAGGGGCCTCACTCCGGTTTTGAAGAAACAATGCTAATTAGATAACCTTAGATAAATAATTAAACACGTGTTTAAGGATTTTTCTTAGTGCTCAGTTTAAACGAAATTATGACAATCTATGCATGAGAATTTCCATGTTTGCCGTGATATTTTTCTCTCTTGCGAGAAAAAAACAGATTCTCGCTTATGTAATCCATCATAATTTCACTTAAACTTAAAATGCATATTGTTTTTTTCGTGTAACCTAACATGAAGTGTTTGTTTCGATTTTGACAAGACAAATTTCAAATTGTTCACACAAGGAAATACGCCGTATTTTTCCATTTTCCTCAAGGCACGGATTTTCACCATACTTTCAGATGGCGGAATTTTTGAAAAAATTTTCAAAAAATTGAATTTTCAAAATGTAAATTTCCTAATTTTTATACGATTTCAAAGATGGAAGAACGTTTTTGCACAGAATTATATTAATTTATGCTAAATCTGTACTTACCAAAAGTTTTAATTTTTCAAAATTTCTTGTTTGTTACTTTAAAAGTTTTTAGAAAAGTATTTTTACACTTTGTTGGAAGTAATTTTGAGTTCCTGGAAGAATCATGGAAGTTTTATGGAATCATTTTTATGTTCTTTCGCGTTTGAAATAGCATCAAAGATGCAAAATTTATAACATTATGAGAAATCCTAATTTTGACGAAAAAATGTATTAAAAATTCGGTAAACACTCGCCTTTATGCTAAAGAAGGTTAGGTTCAGTGGTTAGGTTCGAGCAAATTTAAAATCGGAAATAACGATTCATTTCCACTTATTTATGATGGACTCGAGCGAGAATCTGGAGCGATGAAGCGAGAATCTGTATTTTTGTCCCTCGCGAGAAAAAATTGGGGATAAAAACGGAAATTCTCGCTCTTGGATTCCGCCAATTGAGCATTATGAAAAATCCTCAAACACGTGTTGAATTATTTACTCAGGGTTCCTTAATTAGCAAGGTTTCGTCAAAATTGGAGCGAGACCGCTTGAATCTCCTCATTGTGAGTGTAATCTGCCAGTTCTGCGTTCAATTGTTGAAATCGTGATATTGTTGAAAGTTTCAACAATATCAATTCAACAATACCTATTTTAATTAAGCCCTTGTCGTTTCACCAGACAGCACACAATTACCTTGCACTGAATCAAATTTATGGTTGCCAAAAAACAACAAACAAATTTTCCTATTTTCATAAGTCTCATCAAATCTGTCAGGGACAGGGGCCCCCAGCGAACCTGTGCCTGCCGGCCCCAAATTTATAGTTCCGCTAGTGCTTATTACGAAATTATCACTCTAGTTCTTTACACTGGTCCCAATTTATGAAAATCTTTAAACACACAAATTATTCTTGTGTTGTTAAAAGTAACATTTTTTTAAATTTTATTCAGTACCGAAGACAACTACAAAATCAAAATCACCCCGACCTGCTGAGCCCATCGACCTATTTTGGCTCGCCATGTCCGGCATGATTTACCAATTTACCTTCATCCCCTTCATCCTCGTGCTGGCCGCGTTCATCTTACGACTCGACCCGCTCATCCATCTCCTCGAAATGGCCAAACTAACCCCCCTTCTCCACACCCTATCCTACCTTAGTATCTTCTACGTCATTGTGACCACCCATTTTGAAGGATGCCGCCTCTACCCGCTTCCCATCATCGTGGCATTCTCCCTCTTCAAGATGCTCACCTGTCTCATCTTGTCCCTCACACGGGCACGAAATCAATGGCGTCTCCACAACATGGTGACCAAATATGTCAGACTTTTCATAATTTTGGAGAAAATGCGACGTCTTCAAGAATTCTTTATCGCTGCTTTTATGCTAATCGCCATGTGCGCCACGGTCCTCTTCACGTTTGTTACGATTCGAATGTATACAAATTTCCCGCTTTGGTTTTACTCGTTTTTTCCAAGTGTGAATGTTTTCATCGTTATTTTTGTGCTGATCGGGTTGGGCGTGGGAATCGAGGTGAGGACCCGGTCGGAAGAGGTTTTGCGGATGTGGGAGGTGTGGATGTGGGGGATTTGTGCGGGGAGGGAGAGACAGATTATGAGGAGGAGGTTGGACGCCTTGAGGGTCATGGAGTTCGGGGGGAGGATTCACTATGGACGCTTGTACCGGTTGGATAGAGGGATTCAGCTCAAGTATTTTGAGAAGGTGGTGATTTATACGATAAATTTGTTGCTCGGGGTGCCCAGATTTTAAAGAACGGGTGCATTGTTCATTCTAGTACTCATCATTTTCGTAGTCGCCATTTACCTAATAACTAAATACATATTTGTATAAATGCATGCATCATTTCCATAATTTAATCAAGCAATATTTTTATTTATTAAATTTTCAGACTGAAAATAATTTAAAGATATCGGATTGTATGAGCAGACATTAAAAATTTTCTTAAACTTGCCGTGCAGTTAGTGGAATGAGGACTGAGTGGGAATTTTCCCTGGGTTTATACGTGACGAGATTACCGTTACAGTGATGCACATGGGTATTTCAGGATTGACGGAGCCGAGATTGCTTAAATTAAGTTCATCAGTTTTAATTGATATCATACATTTGACCGTATCACTCACTCAACAAAAAGTCGTCACTTTAATGGACGTCAATTATTTTGCTGCGTGACCTTTATTTACATATGTATGTGCATCAGGCTCACTTCGCTGTGCGTAAGAGTTCATGGCAAAAATGCAAGTAGGTATGTACTGTGGAATTATTTCTGCTAATCACCTCATTTGCATATTATGACGCATTCGTGAAAGACACACATAGAGTTTATTCAACATGGAAAGCTAGCTCGTATCGGTGAAAAGGGGTATATTGAGATTTATGTAAATGAGGTGAAACTGCTAAGCAAATAGCACAGCATTTTGAATTAAGAGAATATGTCATAAGGGAAGACATTGTCTTCCCTTATACAACAGTATGATTTCGGCGTAATTTCAGCAACTATTTCATTTAATTCGCCCACATTGGAGTAAAACATGTACATAAATGTTCGAAATAAATCTGTCCGTCCCACTTGATGAACGAGTCCCACGGTTTCGTTAACTAACGATTAAAGCGTGACCGGAAATTTGTTCACGTTCAATTTTAAAACGCTCGATCCCTCAATCTTATAATGTCTGGTTTAATTTTTAATAACAAAATAAATTTTCATTACATATATATGCATGCATTTCACTTATGCGGATCCTGCTTATGTAGCTATTTAATAGCACAATCCGGCTGTGTCACTGGGCAACTTCCCTTTAACGACGAGTATGTACCAGTGCATGCAGGTTGCATAACAAGTAAAATTTAATCAATGTGAGGTAAAAAAGGTAAAATTTATCCTCCGGTTCTGCAAAATGTGTCCAAAGCCTTGTAAAATTTGTCTACCTGGTTAATGAATTTTGAAAAAAAAACGTTGGTTAAATAGTACTTTTTCGTTGTCATCCTCTTTTTTTAAGCAACCTTGCGTAAATTTCCATATGTATGTACTGTGGTCATCAATAATGGCCTCGTATTTTCGAAGAGCCCCGTTTAAACTGGCCGACTGGAATTATGTTGGGCCAAAAGATGGGAAAGGGTTGAAGCCAATGGTTTGTGATGGGATTTTTAAAAGGAGTTTACGGTCCTCCATAAGTTTATACGTACATAATTTAAAATGTACCTATTTGTCCAATGCATATTGAAACTCAAGAAATTGAGAATTTTGCTAAAATAAATCTTGCACACCACGTATCCGAACTAATGCTTCATATGTTTTTTATTCCTTATATATTATTATTACATTCCAATTATGTCCCAATTAAAATTTTAATATTCTTGAGCAAAATTTTGGAAACTTGAAATTTTAACATTATGTACTCATTAGCGTATATTATTATATGTTTCATTCCATTAAGGGGTCGGTCAATCGTTGTTTAAAATCCGGTGTTATTTATTCATCTCAGTTTTTCACACAAGTTGGTGCTACTTCCGGTTTGCGTTGGAATCCGAGGGTGAAAAGGACGTCGTAGTACGGTTCAACGCAACAGTCGTATTTCTTCTCTTCCTTGATCGCTGCATTCTGGGTGATACTGTATTGCCGGTTGTTAAAGTACGACACGTCAACGAGTGTGCTCTGAAAATTCAATTAAGAAATTTTTTTTGTATAATCTGAAAATTTGTAAAGTTATTTTTAAAAAACAATTTAAATTGAACATTGACAAAATTACGATATTTAGCCATACAAATAATCATGAGTGTATTTACGATTTCTAATAATTTTATCATAAAAATCGTCTCACTGTGCTAATGAACGTCCATATATTACATTATTAAAAAGGTGGGTGGATTGTTTGGGTCGCTTATCTTACTTAAGTTAAACTCAACATGAGTAATATGTATAAGGAAGGGGTGGATGGGTGGTCTCAAAATCAGTGTATTTTATTACGAAATATATGCATGTTCCCTAACGATTTTTACGAAGCCTGACCCCTAGTATTTTTTTTCGTAGAGAATTTTACGACGCTAAGGATATTAATAAGTATTGAATACCCTAAATGTATTTCATTCAGAAATACATGCAAATGACTATCGTTTTCGCCTTACGTTCTTATCCTTGTAGAGTTCGAGTCCCATCGTGTAACCGTCAAAAGTCCATGAGCCGAACTTAAGGGTACAGACTTGTTCCTCGTACGGGCCGTGGTTCAAGGTCAGATTGCAGTAGGATTGAATATGGCAGGGTGGCACCCACAAAACTAGGCCGCTCGGGTAGACGAGCACGTTCGTGTCGTAACAGTCCATCTTGTTATGCACGCTGGGGAATGATGAGGCACAGTTAGAAATTTCTAGACTAGCGGTAAATTTAAATTGTGGCGGTCACACATACCCATTGTAGAGGGCGATATCAGGCTGCCACACTTTTTCGGCGGGGACACGCAACACATTCACGCCAAACTCGGACTCATCCCAAGAAAAGCGATCGTCCGTCCAGGTCTAGATATACGAAAAAATCGGGGTTGATGAATTTATTCTGTCGCCAATTCGGTTAAAAATCGTCAAAATTTGGCCTTTTTTCATATTTAAAATTGGCGTGTAGCCCCTGAAGTAACAGATTTTTCTTACCATTCGCATCCAGACGTGAGAATTCATCACATCTTTATCGGAATCCTGGCAAATTTGGAAAAATAATAGATTTATAAACCAATAAAAATTGAATATTTCCTGAAAAATTATGTCTCTTACAAAGCCGACATCCAGAAGGGACACGCCAACATTAACGGTGCTGTTTTCCGGGTAGTTGTCTTTGTTATAAGTGTCAAAAAGTTTACTGAAAAGCTTGTCTCGTTTGGCTGTCCCGGAATTTTCTAAAGACTTAGACTTCGCTGAAAGTTTGGGGGTCTCGTTTCCCTCTGTAAAAAATTACAGACGTTAATAATTAATTCCCCACAACATTTACAGATTTTAACAAACTCTTACCTGAAACAGCGACCAAAACTGCGAGAATAACGGCACACGCTAAAAATTTCATGATGTCGGTGAGTATGAACAGATTTTCAAAATTCTTCGAAATTAAAGTTCTTAAGCTTGTTATTCAGTTTGTAGAATGATGCCCATGTCGGGATTTTCTCTGGTTTTTATACATGGTTAAATTACGTCACAATGATGCACATGGGTTGAGAGTGTCGAGACTGTTTAATTTATGGTGATCAGTTTTAATTGAGATCAATCCTTTGACGGCATTAATCAGTAAAACGCCGTCACTTTGATCAGCTTGAGTTATTGTTTTGACACATGTATATGTACATCAGCCCAATTTCACTGTGAACAAAAATTGAAGACAAAAATGCAAGTGAATTTGGATCACGTTCAAATTTACAGGATTTTTTATCTTTCATAAATTTTACACATGAAAACATGGAATTCATCTTCGCAAACTATGTAATTTCGGTGGCTTTCAATACAAGTTCTTCCGACTTGGTGTCCAACATAATTTTTTTCAGGATAAGTGTCCCATTTCAAAGCATCGGGTACATGGTTTCCTTAATTGACTACTTAAAGTGTGAACGGATATTCATTCATATTTAATTTTAATACGGCTTCCTCAATATTTTTAAAGCATTTCTTAATTTTATAGTGACGCACGAAAGTAATTGTCATTACATATGTACATTTCATTTATGAGGATCCTACTTAAGTATTTGCATAATAGCAGAATCTGCCTGCGTCACTGAGGACTTCCTTCTTAGCGAATGTATGAAAATGTAATAAATGTTCAATCAAATTAGACCTCTCCTTCAAAATTATAAATTAAGACCGTGCAAATCATATTTTACACAGTAAAATTGAAGGAAAATGGTGCATATTTAATTTGTATAATTTGGGCATGAGTAACGATCTACTTTCAGGTTGAACTTTACAGTCATTTTATTTTTTTATCTTCGTGATCAAAACGTGATCATTATTTTTACCCGAAAATTTTAGAAATGGACAGTTGAAAATAAAATTAACGCTAACTTTCCGGTACATATTTATGTGTATTAGAGTATTTACGGCAAAGATACGATTACCCTGAATAAATAAGTTTTTGTTGAAATTAGCCTAACCAAACTTGGCCCAAATTCTGTATGTTGTGAATTATAATGGTCAACCGGAATTCGAAGGGTTGGAAAAACGATTAAATTCCACTGGTTCGTAGTTGTAGAAAGAGTTAAAATTCGTGGAAATTTATCTCTAATTAGTTATTGATGGGTTATTGTGGTGCAGAAGGATGGATGTGTAAATGAAGACTTTTAACATGTTTATCTTGATTGTGTCCTTTTCTACGAAGCCCATGCATTCTGAGAGAGTTAGTAACCTTTACCTACCTTCAACAACAATGTCGTAAATATTTCTACTGTGCTCAATACGATTACCACGTAATATTAACATGAATGGGAACATGCTATTGATCCTTCCACTGTAATATGCTTGACATGCACACTTAACACCAACCTGATAATCAGAATCTTTCAAATTGTAAACGCATCCACAGCTGGGACATATTGTTGTATTTATTTGCACTACACATACGGCGTAGTTGCAGTCGTCATAGGCAAATATTATTGACACAAAATTTACAAACAGGTTTAATTTAGTTTATATTTACAATGCGTTCAAATGCATAACGCAGTGTGAATTTAGCTACAGACCTGTTCGATTGTGGTCAAAAGTGAGGGCAACTCTGGCATCAAGTTTTCATCCACGTACTCGTAAAATTGGGAGCATCACAAAATGTTTTATTTTAATTTGTTAGAGGACAAATTTAGTTATTAGTTTTGTTCTTCAGGAGTAAAATATATGTACAGTTAACTGTGCAGTATTTAAGAAATCTGTGTGAAAAGTTGCATTTATAAAACAATTAAATTACTACGCCATGGATGAACAAAAGGTAAATTACGGTAACTAATAACTCAAAAGATACAAATTACTTATCCTATTTAGTTATTAGTTTAATTAAGTTGTGATTTAGTGTATTTAAGATATACATTTATTTGTTGAGACTTCTTTTTGTAAATAACTAATTTCTAGAAACTTCGTTACCCAAACCAAGTCTGGTTTATCCTAGCAAATGAATTTTGCGAGCGATTCTCCTACTATGGCATGAAAGGTAAGCACTATATTTTATTATGTATTGTTTGAGTAATGTCGTATCACAATTGATATTCTAAAATCCTTGTTTGTTTTAACTAATCAGAAATATTTCTAGTTAGCACTCAATGATATAATTTATGTATCTATTTTTAAGGTGACAACTGTGTTTATTACATAGATATATGAAATTGCAACACTGAATATGTATAACATCTAAATGACAGGCGTCAAATAAATGAATGGAGTCATGCAATTTACATACAATTTACAACAATAATAGTCAGCAAAATATTTGCAGGGTGTAATTTTCCTTGTTGTATTAAATCACCTTATTCGGAGTGCTTGGAATTTGAACCTGTTTTCCAAATCCCGTTGTGCACAGCTATTTATGTCTATACAGCTACGTACATATGTAGATTTCGGTTGAATGAAAGTGAATCTGTTCATATGTAATGTCTAACAACAGTACCTTGCAACTTTGTTCCTTATTTAGCATAAGAATGTCGATATAGAGTGACAAAGCTTTTTGTCAATAATTTGACTGGATTTAAAGTGGTAAAATATTTTAGTGCATAAATAGAATGTACATCCTATGTATGTTCATATGCAAGGAATTCTCCTACCGTATAAACATTCTTTCCTGTGTTATGATACGAATATATTACACGATTTCAAAAATTATGAAGGGAAGCAGCCTTACCTTTAGACGTAGCCTAAATGGGTATTATGCCATGATAACCATACATGTTCAAAAAATATTTATTCATTCAAAGTTCATTCATTCAAAATCTTGAAAAAAATATTCGTTCCTAATTCACTCATCCATAATTTGTAAAAAAAAATATTTATTAATTATTCAACATTTATTCATTATTCACCATTCCTTCATTATTCATGTTATGTATTCAAAATTCACAGTATTCTATGAATTTCTCAACCTTCCCCATGTATTAAGCTTTGATTAAAGAATGAATAATGAAAATAATATCCATTCATTATTCATTCACACTAATTGAATAGATATTCGCTCAATATTCATTTATTCAAAAATCAGAACAAAATATTCATTCAAATTTTGAATATTGAATGAATAATTTGTTCATTCATAATTAAATGAATGAATGTGAACATATATAATGAGAGCTAATAACTATGATAATTGACTGATTTTTTTTGCTGATACAGCCGTCCTCACCATCTATCTCGTCAACGTATTGGCGTATAGTCCTGATTCCGCTACGAAAATCTATCATATTTTTAGCGGCTTATGCTTTTTTACACCTCTTTTTGGGGCGATGCTAGCTGACTCTTTTCTGGGGAAGTTCAGGTATGGCATGTCTTAAATCCGAGTAAGGATTCTCCATAAAAATATTAAATTGGTGTTGCAGAACTATACTTTATCTTTCAATTGTGTATTCACTGGGAAATGTCATCCTTTCTCTGGCTGCCACTCCACCACTAAATCTTCCCGACAGGTAATTTTAATCCGATGACATACGCTCTAAATAATCTAAGTAAAGTTAATGATTTCTCGGTAATAAATTTGGTAATAATATTTTTCCAGGTAGTAAAAATTCGTTACCATGATGGTAAAACTTTATTACCAAGCCATTACCACACGGTACAACTTATCATTACCACTTTGGTAGAGTCATATGCTTGTGCTTTTCGGTAATGTTTATTAGCAGATTATTTACAGCTTATCTTCTCGTAATAATGCTCGGAAATTATAGTAAAAACTATGTAATTACACAACTTTTGAACCATATTTACAGGTCCTTCAGTCTCCTAGGACTAGGGTTGATTGCGGTATGACTTCAGTGGCTAAAACTAGAAAAAACATATGCATAAAATTCCCCAATCGACATTGCGAATTTTTTTTCTTGACAATAAATATGTACACCATGCATAATAATATATTTACATACGTGAATAACGTATGCAAGAAATCTTAATGTGTTTGGGGAATTTCTAGCAACCTGTTCCGGGTTGACTTTTATTTTACTTTAAGAGGCTTACTTTATGTCACTTATATTTATATAGATCGGAACGGGTGGTATCAAGGTAATCTCTTAAATTAAATTAAATGATGCAAAATAATATGAAACTATTGTTCTGCACACTTTTTAGCCATGTGTTAGTGCATTCGGTGGTAATTTAAAAAATATTTATTTTTAGTTTTACATGTCTAGATTCTCACATCATAAATTTTTACCAAATCCTTAGGTGACCAATTCATACTTCCACAGCAGGAGCGACATTTGACACAATTTTTCAGCATATTTTATTTTTCAATCAATGCTGGAAGTCTTATAAGTACATTTGTCACACCAATTTTCCGAAAAGACGTTGCTTGTTTTAAAAGTGAGATCCTATCCGTAGTAGATACATACGCATATCTATATGATAAGCTGGAAATGTCTGTCAGCAACGGAAGTGGAAGAAAATGTTGCGCAACGGAAGCGAAAGTAAAGAATTCAAATTTCGAGCGGCGCGAAAACTTAAAATAAAATAAATTCAAATGATATATTATCCAGGTGGTTATCGTGGGTGGTGACCATGGGGTGGGCAACTTGGGAACTTTTTTAATGGGACCTCAGACATTTTATTTTTCAAATTTAATTTATAAAGATTCGAAACTTGACTTTCTTTACTTTTACTTTCATTGGGAAATATTTGTCTTCGCTTCCATTGCCGACAGACATTTCCAGCTTATAATTCTCGCTCGCCCGACAAGAGACAGGCTTATACGCTAGTGTATAAATAACTGCAATTATGTATTTATTATCGTATACTTTAAGGTGATACTTGCTATCCACTGGCATTCGGAGGTAAAATGCTTTTTAATCCAACTTCTTAATTCAGAGTTTACATAATAGTTCTTGTTAATTCTGCAGTTCCAGCTGCCCTTATGATTGCTTCCCTTGGTATGTGTTCATTCTTTGTTGGCCAAAGTGACGACTTTCTCTCACAAATATATCTTTGTCATGCAGTCATATT